CTTGAAATTGAATCCAACAATTCCCTCCCCTTCCTCGATATTCTTATAATCCGCAATGAAACCGATTTTAGCACCTTTGTGTACCGTAAACCCTTTGCAGTTTGTTTACCACCCCATGCCACCCTGTTAAGCAAAAAATGGCTTCTTTTTACTATTATGTTTTCCGTGCGCTAAAAGTTTGTTCCTCTGAATCTTTGCTTACCAATGAACTTAATTATTTGAGAGCAGTTGCGATTGACCGTGGATTTTCTCCCGTGATTATTGATAAAGCCGTCAAAAAATTTTCAGATTCCCATCAAAGAAGACATTCCACTGTTAGAAATAATATTAATGACCTTGTCGTGCTTCCATTTTATCCTTCTGTTAGCTATAAAATTGCACGGATTCTCCAGAAATTCAATTTTCAAGTCGGTTTCTCCCCTATTAATAAAATTCACCCTTCGATTCTAAAAGATTGCGTTTCTGTCTTGAATTCTTGGGGAATTTATAGTATATCATGTCAGTGTGGTTTAAGATATATTGGCCAAACAAAAAGAGCGTTGAAGTTTCGTATCAAGGAACATGAATCTTATGTCAAAAAAGGCGAAATTAACAAGTCTTCAATAGCATATCATAGCTGGACTTTTAACCATAATTTTGATTTTGGGTCTGCAAAAATCATCCAAAAGGCTTCTTCCATAGGTGAATTGGATTTTCTTGAGGCTTTTCACATTCACAAAGATTTAGAAAGTTTAGTTAATGATTTGAAGTCCAATCCAGTCCTTCCTAATGCCTTTAAAATTCTACTATCTTAATTCAATTATTTTTGCCGATAGATGGCGTTACCTCCTCGCGCTTGGTACTACCAGAGGGTATAAAAATTCGTTCAGTGGTTGCTTTCCATTATTTGAAGTTCAGATTTTGAGCGTAAGGTGCATTTGCCCCTTGCTCCCTATTTTAACTTCGCTAATATTTCTTTATGCATGATCAGACAGCCTGGCTCAGTAAAAGTAGGCGGCCAGTGCAACTCTGATTAAAAATCTAGTTCTAACCACGTGCAGTGCTGATAAGCACCACGTGTTTCTGTGACTCTTTCTCCTATTTTCTTCTTTCTGTGTATTTCTTTTTCCTGATGAGGAGGGACCTTTAACTGCCCTCGAAATCGATTGAGTGTTTCATTATACCTACGCTAAATATAAGGTTGTTTTTTACGATTTTGATTAAATGCAGGTTATTTGAATAGGGCAAAGAACATGAAGGCTATATATCTAAATGGTAGGGATGTCATCATGGAGAATCAGGGAATCAGGCTTATATTCATCTTACACATGGAAAAGAAAACCTACTGTACAGATAGCCTGTTTGCTTAGGTTTAAACTACTAGTATTCAACAGTTCCAGTTCCTAATCATCTGGTCACTAGTAAGATTATTCATATAAAAAATGACTATTTTCAGACTGTACAAAATAAGCACGAGGCCAAGATTTTACCTAATTACAAAAAATTTAAACTTCATTTACTAATTTAATACTGCCAACTAAATAAAATCTCTATAAGTAGCATTCCGAATTACAAAAATTAGGAAACTACATATTGCATATAAAATGCAAACTGCGCAGGTAAACTACTGTATTTTCTCCACCATAACATCTTGTTAAAATAAATCAATCTTTGCCAAACATGGACTCGCAGAATGCGATATTGCGTACACCCATTATCATAACTGTCTCCATTTAATTCGTCCAATGCAAGTATTTCAGTTATATGCAGTATGCTGCAAAGTGTTGCCCACATTGCATTAGTCCTTTTGAATGACTGGTTTTAAATTTCCTGAAGAAGGTAACATTGCTTAGAACAGTAACACATGAATTAAATTTTCAAAAATGCTCCAAGATATGATACTGAAGCCATGGTGGTCCACGAAGGATATGGTACCCAACATCGCACCCAAATGTAGGTTTTATTCTTTCCACCGAACACCATTTCCTAACTCTTTTATATAGGTACAGGCCATTCCGAAACCAATGAGCCATGCGCTAACGTGATGGGGAAAAGTACCAAAGGATTTTCATCAACTGAAAATGAGAGCAAAGAAATAGACAAATTGTAGAAGCAGTAGGTGGTGAAGAATTTTCAGATAATGGAAGAAGGAGAAATCAAGGAATTAGAGAAGAATATTGATCATGAAATGGTAAATGAAGAATTAGATGATCTTATAACACCAACAGGCGGTGAAAGCAGCAATAGTAAAGAAGATGAAGAGCCTTTAACATACAAGAATTAGTTTAAAAAGGCACAGGAACTGTTTCATTTCTGCAATGGATTAACCAAATGAAGAAAATGAGAAGTAATGAAAAACTTCACACTTCTTACTGTGAAATATTTAATGAATTGCATCAGACATCGTCCCAAACAAAACTCATCAGCTATTTAAAACAATTATTTCATCATGGATCTGCTTATTAAGCAGCAAAAGAAATTTCTCCAATCAATAGTTACATTTTCCTCTTTTAAGTACAATATTTTAGGTTTGTATAAACTGAACTATACCTAACTCCCTTTTCCTCATAGAAAGCTAAGCTACAGAATTGAACACGATTTTGCTACACATGTAATGTTTTAATGAGATAACTCCTGCATTCAACAAGAGTATATTGTGAATAAAACTATACATTAAATTACATATTTTGAATTGTGGCTTGCTCCCACACACACTCTGAAGCCATTCTAATAATTAATATTTAGTGAGAAAGAGAATTAATTAGAATTTATATATCAGAAAACTTATTTCTGACAGGCAAAGAACATGTTCTAAAATGTTCATAGACAATTCAAAAGCTAAACTGCAGTTATTACCAGTACCTGGAAGAACTACAAAATAAGAGTGGACATGCACAACATAGAGTTCATGTCCACACTTTTCTATGGAGATAGTCCCATTGTAATACATAGAAGTTACATTACAGAGATAAGAGATACATTATAGAGCTGAACATGAATTTACAGGAGTTTCGTGTCTATGCCTTTCTACAGACATTTGCCTTGAAGTGGTCGACACACGTGCATCATAGTAGAGACACAAAACGGCACAATTTAATTTTAGTAGCAGTAAGAGATACATTATACAGATGTGTAAGAATGGCACATGTACAGAATAGTTTCATGTCTGTGCCTTTTTATAGATTTTCTTAGCAGTAGCAGAAAGAAGTGCATCATACTATGGAAACAAAATGGCACATAAAGCTCACAGAACACATTGTGTCGAAAGTTCACAAAATGATGAGCAGCAATCATGCAATGACTGTCTCAAATATTACACAAGAGCTGAGTATTTCAAAAGGCGATACTTATATTTTACTGTCTGAGCTCATCTTAATTATCAAAACTGTGTTTATGATAATTTCTTATTTATATATTTTTGAATATAAAGTAGCAAAGTTTCTGTCTTCTCTGTAGACTTCCTTCAACAGCATTTTATGGAAGGCAATGATATCTTAAGCTGTATGATTCTATCCCCCTCAAAGAAGAAAAATATGAAATGGAATGAAAAAAATGAAATGGAGACACATACAAGACATATACTTTCACTGTGGAACATTGAGTAAAAGGGTTAATACCCAAAATAGTTTGATAGCTTTTGGTGCATAGTTTGAACTTATCACCAAAGAATTTCCATATATCTGGCAAACTGAGAGACAATTTATTTGGATGGACATTTACCTGATAACAAAGAGGCAAACCATCAGTAAACAATGATTCTACAATCACTTTACCGGCAAGAAGCAGATTTGTATCACCATGAAATTTGATGTTTGAATAAATATTTCAACAAGTATTTCTACAGAATGGGTCATGTTGAAAACCAGTGTGTTATATCCATCTCAAATATTAGTTTGTCATTTAATTCAATTTTTACCCATAATATCGAGTGTAAATTAGATTTTGAATCATCTTTAACCACATTATTAGTTTCTTTCAGATTACAGAACTTGGCACATATGCGAAAATTAGACGATAACTTATACAGACAACAGAATTGCTAGGTATCACGTTCATAATTATTACTATTTACTGTACAAATAAACTTATATGTGGAAGTTATAAGAAATTTTTTTACCTATTCCCACCAAATTCCAGCTGCTTTACAATATATTACACTAGATTATATTAATATGATAAAGGACAGTAAGGATATCTGAAGTTCAAAAGGGATGCCTTTGCAGAAAACTTTAAATGAGAAACGACAGACTTTTTAGCTACACACTAAAAATTTGTGCATTCTGTCAACATACTTTCACTTGTTAGTATTTAGAAGTGATTCAATATTCATTAAATGTTGCTTTTACAAACACTGAGGAAAAAGTTTATAATGAATTTTAGTCTTCACATTTTAAATAATAATACATTATTTCTGCACGTATTTTAAAAATACCTAACTGAATTACTTATGATAAAAAAATTTATGGTCACAAATAAAAATAATAACTTTCCACCAATAAAATTTATAACTGTGTAACAATACCAGTGACATTATATGTCAGATTAAAGAACAGATTATACACAAGCTGGATACATTTTAATCCATATCATTTTTACAAAAAGAATAGATCTAAAAATATTAACAAACCACTCAACGCAGTCAACTTTAAAATTAGAAGGAATGAAAATGCCCATCTCTTAAAAATGAACATCAACACTTTGACACACTGACAAAACATTGCCAATTTTAAACCTATCCACAAATGTAACCCTCACACAAAGAATGAGAATTCCACTTTTATAAACAATGCAGCAAGCTTGGTGTATTTTAGGTTCATAAAAGAATGTTGAATTTAAATGAAAGAATTATATATTGATAACTTATGTTTGTGTGAGAGATAAAGTTGGATCTTTTTCTGTATACAACTGGGACAGGTATGAAAGGCATGCTTACAACTTGCATAGCAATTCATGCAAATCTAACATGCACTTAGAACACTCATGCAATAAAGAGAATGAGCTACAATAAGCGTAATACTTACCATGCAAGCTTTTAAAACCATTTACTTTCTTTGCAAAACAGCAAATAAATTATGTTGAAAAGGAAAACCTAGAATAAAAGTAATATTGAAAATAAGGTAAAAAATTCACAGAAAATGTGATACATTACAACAATTCTCAAGTTCTAACATATATCATACCTCATTGTTATACACATTCAGCTTCAAGGGACATGAAAGCAACTTCACAGGAAATACAAACAGTTTTTTACATATCAGTTCCAGGGATACGAGAATGACTTGAGGAAATGTAAAAAAATAGCAACAAATATAACATAGCAATCGTGATAATAAATTATTTTATTTCGGTTCAATATATTTAAACACTAGAACGAATGACAGTTGTTGAACATTCATATCACTAGAGGCATTCCACAAGAATTTATGATAAATTATGAAAATCTGCAGTCTTGCACACGACCGAAATTCTGAAAAAAATTACTAGTTTTAAATTACAAATTTTAAAAGCAAAATTTAGTTAATAAGACCAGTAACTGCAAAAAGTTTCTCTCCAAATCCACTTTCATAAATCAGTGATACAACTTAAAATCTTATTCACTTTTTATAGTCACAAGAGGAGATGAATTTTCTGAATTAAATGTCAGTCAAATAAAGGTGAACTTAAAAGAACTGCATTTTTATGCAGAGAAATTACAATTTGCTTTTTTGGGTTATGGCAGAATACATGACAGCCACCTACCTATGGAAAGAGATGCTTTCATAGAAGACTTAAAGGGAATTGGCTCGTATTCACATTACACATGAAGAAAACCACTAAACTGACCTACTCTCATGCTCCTGTCAGCTGGGATTTGAACATGGGTCAAATTAACAACGTTCAGAAACCCTACCCACTCAGCTACTAGTAAGCCACAATATGAAAAATGAAATCTTACAAGAAATGGACGATGGGCATGATGACAAATTTAAATGACGATTACTAATGAAAGAATAATTATGAAATCAATGATATCTCCTAAATTAAGTCTCTTAAAGAACATTTGCTCACAATAATGTAGACAACACTAAATAAATAATATTTGATAAAAATTTGAAGTTTGAATAATAATATGGTGTACAGAAAGTGATGATTATAAGTACTATCTTCAAACTACAAAATTCTAAAGTTTTAAAAACAAACCAACAGAAAACAAATGCTTGAAAAATGTAAAAAATAATTTCATTAGTCTTTTCCTACTTTTAATGTACAAATTTTTATTTTATGACCATAAATCCACATAACTTTGGACTAACTCAACAATCTACATTGCAGTGATTTAAATGTAACACAATTATTTCCAATTTCTACAGCTTTGTGTCCACCTACACAAAGATAAGTACACTACTACTATAATTAATTCAGTATATTGAGATTATACAAAATTTGTAGATTTTTTTACATTTGAAATTCTATTTTTATTTCACATATTTTTTTTTTCAGTGAATTAAAATTATTCTAAAAAATCCTGGTTCAATCACAGCAAAAAAGTAATAATTCAAAAAAAATGCATGACACTTTTAGTCATTTTTTAGACTAAAGAGTGCAATCTAAAAAAATATTTGAAAACCAATGCTTTAAAATATAACAGACTTACTTAAGATTATTAAATATGAAGTAACACTTACATAGACAAACAAATATACAACATCAAAAGATTGTCGAATACACGTTTCTTGTTTAAACTGAAGAAATCAGGTTCTGATCTTCTTTTCTAAAATGAATAAGATAAGAAATATAAGTAAACAAGCATTTAAGGGCTACATTATTTTAAGCATTTAAGGGCTACATTATTTTAAGCATCTAAGCTTCAGCTAACTTGAACAGAATAAAAACAAATACATTTATAACAACATGGCTCCTGAAAATAATCTTCCTTCGGATGGATAACTATCATATTTTTATATCATATATGTGCAGAATGAATTCTCAAGAAGCTAGGAATTAAACACAGAATGAAATATCAGCATTGAAAATTTGATCCATATGACTATTGGCAGCTTTCGCTACCTCTCCAAATCATGCAGTGATATTGCATATGTATACTTATTTATTTAAACAAAACTATACCGAAATACAAGTCTTGTCAATGATAATGAAAATAAAACTGTAATTCATTCTTTTTAATAACCTGATAACTTTTAAAAATTAATGCTACTTAATTACTAATGCTTTATTATAACAAAAATGTATTTTATAAATGGCTTTCTTTTTAGGAATAGTTTTTCATTTACAGTGAAATCAATGTGTTTACAGACACCAAACAATATTAAAAAAAATTAATGACAACAAGTATTATAAAGAAAAAATCTAAAATCAATAAAGAATGATTTACCATTGGGATGAAATATGATAGTAGTCTATAACAAATACAACCATAAAGTTTAAACTGAATTAAAAGTAAAATTTAAAATCAAACAATATGTGCAATATACAGTATGCTGAATGTACAAATTACAACTATATGTAAAAATAAAATCTTGCATTTTAATGGTAAAGTTCAAACGAATTAATTAAAAGTATTACTGCATGTCCCATAATCTGAGTGTAATAACAGAATATGGAAAACGAAAATAGCTTTGAATATGTATTATTGAAATATAAAACATTTAATACATCAATCAATAATGTGAAAAAATAAGTTAGCCAGATGTCTTTTAAATTATTTTAAATAATTAATCCATATAGTGTAAATACGCCTTATATTAAAAAAAAAAAAAAAAAAACAGTGAGTTTAAAATGCTAACACAAAAATCAATATCGGAATCAACTGTAAACACCAGAAGTTAGCTCAGATCATTAAACTTGCAAACAATTTTCATATAAACATTCAGCAACATCAAATTTCCACACGTTGTAGTTAAAATCTCCGACAATTCTCAGAAGTATTCATTGTTTCACAAACCATCTGCATCCACTTCAAGAATTTAATTATTTTTAACGGGATAGTTGAAGTTGCAACAGATCGAAGTGCCAACTAAGTTAGCAACCGATCACAGCTTGTGCAAAAAGGGAACGCCATGAACCGAACAATCGCCGACGCGGAACTTGTTTTTAAGTTCCAAACAGCTGGAATAGGCATAACAACAACAACTATTGCTTCCACGATGAACTCAGTACTTTAAGATTAATCATCGTAATCCTTGAACTGTTGATTAAAAATATCAAGTACCTAAAAAACACTTACCAATTAACACCCTCCACCAGCGCAACAGCAGCTTGCCGACGTCTTCAGCGAATTCCGGGCAACTGAGATACCACCACTACGGCTGATTCAAGCCATCCGCCTATCTGTGCAGGGGGAAGCCATCACGTGACCCGAATTACGGGTGTACCATTCATTCTTCCAACTCTGGAGATTATCCTCGTTCCAGAGGAATTCTCGAACGTTTCATGGTAGACGCGTTGAACATGTTTAACTTATATCCTCTAGGTCTCGTTAGTTCAAATGGCATCGAAAAAATTAGTAGGTCTTTCTTTCTGCATTCGTAAATGCGACAGACGTTTGACTGTACCTCCAGCACAAAATGTCGATGGCGGTTTCACCTGCGAGGGAAAGCGCAATGGCTGGCTGCTCATCGATTCTCTGCGGGGGGGAAAAGTTCTATCCGCCTGCCATTTCTTGCTGATGGCTAACAGCAGTTCGAGGAAAATGGCGTTTGCCTGACTTGCTTTTGCAATAACTGGATTGTTTTCTTTCGTTTCGGTACATATTAAATGAAAGAAACAACATGTCAATTAATGTCATAAAATCCAATTATATGAGCATAAGAATGGCTAATACGATGGACCAGCACATTAAATTACAAGATGGACTGATACATCTTGATATACATAGAGCATACGAATTTTATGAAAAAAATCTGTTTTTTGCATCATAAAAGCAGTATTTTGAATACTGCGTTGATATGAAATACCGAGATAAAATATGTAGATAAACTGTATGTAGTTTGAATTAGGATTCTTTACAGACGATTTCAGCAATGACCTTTGGTGTTTTTCATCAGAAGGAAGATGGGAAAGACGTCTTTACTTTTATTTTTTACTTTTTTTCCCATTTTTCTTGTATCCAAAGGCTTCATTATTAGATATTGGAATACTTAAATTACATATGAAGTCTGCCGCGATATTTTCTTCATTGTCACCCTATCCCCCCTTTTCTCTTCCAGCAGACAACTACATTTACGGTATTTCTGCATACAGATCATACAGGTAATTCTTTATCTGCAGCAAATATTGAAAAGTGTCCTAATCAGTGAAAAAGGAATAAAAAATGTCGAAGGTAAAAAAAAAAAAAAAAAACTGCTTTTAAGCTGAAAAATGCGGCTGAACTATACTAACCCTTATGCTTCCAAATTTCCTCATTCAGTGTGAAGGGGGTTTCCGCCTAGCAGACGGTGGGTAGTGCTGGGCAACTCTTTTGTGTATGAACGTAAGCTAAAGAGATAAACATAAATATAATGTTTTCTGATGTGTAAAAATATAGTAGGTGAGTAAAGTATTTTGGGAGAGGAAAGACAGGAACGATTTTACTGTGGGAGAAAGCAGAATAAAAACATTTAGTTTCTGGTAGTAAGCAATGCCGCCTCACCTTAAATCATACTGTTAAGAATTTAGAAGACTAAATAAGAATTTTGGAAGTAATCGATCCTTTTTATTATGGAACAGTTTTAATGTTGCATGTAGAAATCTTAACTTGAAATCTTTACTGCTGTTCTCATGAAAAGTTTTGCGAAATCAGGAATTTATTTTCAGTATGCCGTAAGAATTAATTATTCATTTAATGAAACAGTTGCTCTTGTTTCAAGGCGGGCAGTAGTTTATTAATTAAAATATACTGTTTCTGACGGTGTAGCTCTTATTAGATACTCAAGATTAGATTATTAGATCATCGTACAACTTTAAATCAAGAAGTTTGAAAATTTACTATTGTTAACAATGTAAAATCCACCCCCTCTCCTGTAATCTTACATCGCAAACATAGCAAACAGCGATGACGCTTTATTCTATCTTGCATACAAAACTGAGCTCTTAAACAAAACACTAAAAATAAAATGTTTAAATAGACAGTTTACATGATGTGGATGTAATGCATGCATGTGCGGGTTTTCTTATGTCAAAGAAGCTACTGTATTTCATTAACTATGATTTTAATAAGTTTATTTGAAGATGACGAAGAATACAAGGGCTATTTGCCTAAAGTGAGAGATGCCTTCGGGGAGGACTTTTAAGGGAAACTTGCTTGTATTCATGCTACACATAGAGAAAATCAACCATGCTGCCAGCCCATTTGCCTGGGTTCGAACCCGGGTCGAACTGTCAACATTCAGCGTTCTTAATTACTCTGCCACTGATAGAGCATCATTTCAATAAAATATTATTAATCAAATTATCCATTTTAATAAAATACAATGGCACTTTTTTATTAAAGTGGATACTGTTGTTAGTTAACAAAACTGGCAAACTTTATCGCTAAAATTATAAACTGCACCTCTAAATGCCCCCTCCCCATCTCAATGGTTGAATACTTGCTCCATAAATATTTGTCGCGAATGGCTAAACCCATCGGTCATATCGTGTCCACGCTTTTCGCCCAAATGATGTTTCGTCTTAAAATTCTTTCCTACATCTACGGGTAACAATTTTATTTCTCTTTGATGGTTTCCTCTTCCCCTCTGATACCAATTCGCCCAAATTACTTCTAACCCCTTCCTCTTTCCAGAGATGGGGTTAGAGTTAGAAGCAATCCGAATGCAATCGCTTCTCCCTCGTTCTGAAGATTATTTTGCGTTTTTCTGCGGGTTAAGATGCGTTCTACTTAAATTTTACCTATAGTTTCTTTACGTAAAATATTCTACATAACCATACAACGTAAATATGCAATGCAGCATATTAATATTATAGTAGTATATGTATTTATATGGTTATCAAATTAATTCTAAAATTTTAAGTTGTTTGATTATCAATTATCTATTTAAAGCACTTTCACAATTTTTCAAAATAAACTGGCATTATACAATGCTTGTTTAATGTAGTTATTAACAATTTACTCATCAAATTTATGATGATAAATTTTCTGAAAATGTCAACGTACCTTTCTATCGAGACAAAATTCAAATAGATTTTGCACTTTGAGTAGTCGTAGTCTTTTAGGCAAGCCACTTGTGTTTCTAATTAATTTTACATTATATAGCTGAAGAGATTTCCATTACAGTTCTGAATAATTTCCAATACCGGTGTTCCAGTTTTAAGGCACATTCCGTGACTGGCGAATTATGAGTTAAATTTATTGCATAATTATGTATTTATTATATAGGTTTTTAATTCAACAAACTTAGCGTCAAGAGACTTTTTCGATGATCTTCTAATTATGATCATAATTTGTAAAAGCTAATGATTAATCTAAGTGGAGCATCTGGCTCGCTCTCGCAGATTATTGTAGGGTTACTACGACATGAATAAATATAATCTCCTACTAATGTAATAACGTTTTATCACTCACATACCTGTTGTTGTAAAATGAATTATAGAAAATATTCTTGAGGTCATTTTTAAAAGTACACATTCAGTTAATTTAACAACTGTTTTGAAGAATTTTGCGATCAAACTAGCATATTGGCACTTCATTTCCCAAATTAAGAACTATGGATTTTCCACTTTGCTAGAATTTTTAAGATTCAGTAATGTTGTGCTGTTGTCTTATTAAGTTTTCATTTAAGTATTTAAGGAATTGCAACATCTCCCTGTGCGTGCATTTGTGGTTTAAGTGGTTAAAGCAGCTAGCAGTTTGAATATATAAGCTTCCATCCCTATGGGCCATAATAATTTCTCAGGATTCCAGTTCCAAAAAAAGTCTAATAGTCTGTGCAGTAGTGATCTAATTAAAATGCTGTGGACGATTATGTGTCACCTGTTTGATCAAAGGAGTTTGTTTCTTTCTTTTAGTCACCCTTTATTTGGGGAAGAATGTAAGAACTTAGTTCAGCCCCCCCCCCTCGCCGCATAAGCTGTCGTTGTGTATGCAGTAAGTACGCCAGGATGAGAATTGAAAGATTCGTGGTTCGAATTCCGGTGAAGGTCCAATTGATTTTGCATATTTCCTAGTCCGAAATGTTTGACAGTCTCTGTAAGCATACTATAATGATTAATTCCTGAAACTAGATGTACTAACATAAATTTTATTCATACACTTGATCGAAATAAGTTACCTAAAAGATAACTGTCATTAAAAATGAGAATTTGATGTCGTTGAAATTTCACATTATCAATCTTTTAAACTACGGCGCTAATTAATGAAAATTTTCATTTGTTATTTTAATTGATATTCATTTTCACAAAGCATTGAAGTTCACAAATTTGATGATTATAATCTGAAAATAATTATGACATTATTTCTCAAATATATATTTTGAACATTACTGGGAACTTGAAGTTAAATATATTACATTTTAAATTCAGAATTTGAAATTAAATTTGCTCCTTGAAAATGTGGAAGCGATTAAAGCGTTATAACATCTCATAGGCTAAAAAAGTAAAAAAAAAAAAAAAAAAAAAAAAAAAAAATTGGCATATTTTATTAAGATCCCTTTTATGGAGCTACTATATTAAACTTGAATTAATTCATGGCCAATAGCATGCAATAATTATTCGTAATATGTTGTTTTAAACTTGTTGCTATTAGCTTACAAATCCCATCCAAAGTGTTCGGAACAGCCGAATTGTTTCACTTTTAAGGCAACTTATAGCTATAGCATTATTTATCACGTCACTTAAGAAATTATGATTTGAATTTATTATATAACCATGTATTTATTATACCGATGTTTAATATCAATTTAAAAGAAAAATATTTTTATGTAAGTTACCAAAAACGTTGTGGTCACATACCGGTAGCTCATGATCGAAGTTTGATAGCTCTTGTTGTATCTATTACCTAGCATAACTGGAACAGACAAGCGTTTGCTAATTACATATTTCGGCGATAAAGAAATAATACGATAATTATTGAGAAGATGAACGCGGATCTGATTCAATACGTAATTTAAAACTGAATTTTAATAAAAGTATCGTAGTATTTTCAACTAGGCCTCCGCCTCTGAAGAAGACTGACTTTTGATTAATTGTAGGGACACGAAAACTATCAGTCTAGTGGAAGAGATGTCTTCATGGAATGCCTTTTACTAAAAATTAATTTTGATACTTTTGTGTCATAATGGTCCACAACAGAAGATTTATCCTGCTCTTACCAGCTCCTTAATGAGTCTCAAACGGGCCTGGCGGAGGTGAAAAGCATGAAGTTTTCTCCATGGGAAGCAGAAATAGAAGGAAAAAATTAACTTGTCTCCATGTTATATATATATGAAACACCAACCCCAAGTAGCGAGTCTTTTCGTTAAGAAGTTAATTTGCAAGATAATACGCATTTTTTTTTTTTTTTTTTTAAATCAAGGATTTCAAAGATATGATTGCTTGGAATAGATATTTAAGACGTACAGGATTCGCAAAAAGATATCAC